TTTGTTCCTCGGTCCCTTTCTCTTTGGCTTGTCCCCTGCTCTCTGCTTCCTGCCTGCAGTGAATAAGGCACTTTCCTCTGCCGTACCCTTCCACCACGATCTTTCTGCCTTAGAACCAGCCAACCACGAACTGACCCCTCTCAAACTGTGAGCCAAAAATAACCTTTCCTCCCTTAAGTTGTATAAATCAGGTATTTTGTTTCAGCAATGAGAAGCTGACTAATGCTAAAAGGAAAATGACCGATTTTTTCCCTGGGAAGTCATATCCATAAGCTGGTTCATGCTCAGCTTGGAAGCTTGAATCCATACTACTTAGAATGGGCTAGAAAACTATGAGCCTAGAACTAAGTTCTGACTGGAAATTCACCCATGTGTGTAACATAGCATCACATCAGGCCTCAGCAGTTTCCACAGATATATTTTTAAAATGCATGAGATTACCACTTTAAAAAGCAAGGAAAATTCAACACTATGAGTGAGAATCAGCAGAAAGAAATACTATAAAACTAACTGGAACACAAGTACAGAAAGACATTAGATGTAGGAATCGAGAGAAACCAAACATAAAATAACCACATTGAAAACACTTTACATTTTTAAGCAGTTTGAATATAGAAGGGTAAGCTATGATCAAAATGATTGGGTAATAAGTATACTAAACACAACTATAAATAAAAACAATTGAAATCTAAAATTCACTGAATGTGTTCAACAGCAAATTAGACACAGTTGAAGAAACAGTTAGTAAACTGAAAGATGGATTAGACGGTTTTCCAGAATATGGTGCAGGGAGACATAGTGATATAAAAAGAAAAACAGATGAGACAGAGTGAGATGGTTTACCACACATCTGTTGAAAATTACAGAAGAAAGGAGTGATAATGAAGCAAAATTCCAGACAAAAGTAACAGAATTGATGTAAGACACCAAACCACAGATTAAGGTAACCCAAGTAGAGTGAACAAAGACTCAGCCCCTTAAAAATGTAGAAATGATGGCTGGGCATGATATAGGCACGTGCCTGTAATTTTAGCACTTGGGAGGCTGCTGAGGGTTCAAGGCCAGCTGAGGCTACATAGTGAGTTCAAGGCCAGTGTGAACTACATAGTGAGACCCTGTCTCCAAAAAAAAAAAAAAAAAAAAGGAAAACAAAAACAGAAGACAAGTTGAAGAAGAAATCCAAAGGGCAAAATTCATCTTTTGTCTTTTTCTCAATAGTAACAATAAAAGCAAAGGATAATTCAATTTTGTTGACAGTGGCCTAGATTTGCTAACAGGTGGGCTTTATTTTTTTTTTGTCATACTGAGGATTGGACCCAGGGTCTTTGCAGTGATTTATATCCTCAGGGTCTATCTACTTTTTATTTTGAAAGAGGGTCTTGCTAAGTTGCCCAGGCTAAGCTTGAACTTACAACTTCCTGCTTCGGCTCCCTGGAGTGCTGGGATTGGTGTGTAGCACCACGCCTAGCCTTGGTAGAAATATGCTTAAAGAACAACAATACAATGAACATTTGCAAATAAAATTTGAAAGACTTCTCTTTACTGAAGGAAATTCTGATGAATGCTTCCACCAGGAAAGAAAAAAATGATGTTAGATGTAAAGTTTTAGGTGAAAAATGAGTGATAAATAGCAAAGCTTAAACAAAAAATGATAAGTAACTGATGAGAAAAGTTAAACAAACACCGATGATACCACACACTACCAGTCAATAGTTAACAAAACAACAAACCCTATTATGTCAGGAGGAGAGTGACCATAGTTAAAGAGCCCTATGGTCCTTGTTTCATTACAGATATAGGTAACCATGGCATTTGCCACTCTGGCGCATACCCATGAAATGCTCTAGGTTAACCCCTATGTGAATGTTGATAGAATATACAACTTCAAGACCAATAGACAGAAAGCATGGAGTGAGAAATGATCAACCCAACAAGAGGGATGAAAGAGGATAAAAGAAACATTAGCAAATTTAATACAAGTGGAAAACACAAAGTACACTGCTAGGTTCTACCCAAATCCAAAAACAACATTAAGTATAAATGTATCACATGACCATTAAAATGCAGCTGTGTAATATTTGCAGTGAACACCTCTGGAACATACGGCTTCAGGATTTTTAAAAAGAGGCTTTAAGAATTTGGTATCAAAGTCAAAATTTTTAAAAATCCCAAGAAAACTATAGACAAAAATTCTTTCTGAATCTATGTAAACACAAACATTCTTAACAAAATATTAGCAAAGTGAATCTAGCAACAGATACAAAGGATCATGTACCATAACAAGGTGGGATTTATCTCAGAAGTGTGAAGCTGGTTTAAGATCCAAAAATCAGTTACTATATTACACCATGTCAATTGAATGGGGGGGAGGCACTATGTGACCATCTTGATAGACTCAGAAAGAGCACTTAAAAACAGCGTTTATTATAAACACTCTTAATAACTAGGGATAGAAGGAAATATCAGTCTGGTGAAAAACATCTATTAAAAACCTAACATCACGCTGGAGGGAGACAAGTAATGCTTTCCCCTACCAGCTGTGCTCTGGCTTCTAGGTGTACAGTACTAGAAGTTTAAACTACTGCAAATTAGGGGAAAGTGGGGATGTGGGAAAGATAGAGATAGAAAACAAGAAAGAGGGAGGACAGGAGAGTGAAAGGAAGGAATGAGGGAAGGAAGGGAAGACATTAATGGTATTCAGACTAAAGGGAAGAAGTAAAACCATCTTTATTCTCATATAACATGAGCCAATATGTAGAAATCCTAAGAAATCAACAATAACAAAACTACTAAAGTTAATAAGAATGAATTTACAGTTTATAAGATTAATATAAAAGCCAATTATATTTTAATATACTAGTATGGACAACTCAAAAGTAAAATTAAGAAAATGTCATGCATCAATAAAAACATTTGTATCTAAAGATGTTAACAAAAGAAATGCGAAATTTATACATTGAAAATCACAGAACGTCGCTGAAAGAAATTAAAGTAGATCAAATTCGTGGAAGAATTTACTATGTTCCTAGATTACAAGACTCAATTTTACCAACACTCTGGTTTTTCTGAAATGGATCTATCACTATAAAGCCTATCAAACCCTGGCAGGCTCTTTTCTTCATTTAAAGTTGACAAGTTGATTCTAAAATTTATATGAAAATTCATAGATCCTACAATGGGAAAGAACAATTTGAAAAAAGAACAAAATAGGAGATTTTTACTATTTGATTGCAAAACTCACTGTAAAGTTACAATAATCACAACAGTAGGTTTAAGATTAGGCATATACAGACTAATACACACAATTGTGAATCCACAAAGAAACCCATGCAGTTTTGGGCATCTGATTTTTGATAAAGATGTCATGACAATTTGATGAAGGAAAAAATGTTTTTGACAAGTGGTGCTGGGCAACTAGGTATTCGTAAGTACAAAAGCAAAAACAAAAAACATCTTAGACTTTACTTCAATATTTAGCCCCCCAAATTATCTGAGAATAAACATAGATGTACATGTAAGACGTAATTCTCTACAATTTCTAGAAGAAGAAAAAAATAGGAGAAAATGTTTATGACCTTGGTTGCAGCAACGAGGTCTTAGAACATTAAAAGCATGATCTATGCAAGGAAAGACAAATGGGACTTCATTAAAATTAAAAAGTTTTGTGATTTAAAAGACACAATTCATAAAATGAAAAGACAGCCATGGAAGAGAAGAAACTCTTTGCAAGTCATACATCTGATAAAGGACTTGTATCCAGAATATATTAAAAAAAACTCTTGCAACTCAATAATAGAACAGACTACTTAATTAGAAAATGGGCAGGAGAGTTGAATAAACATTTCACCAAAGAAGTCTATGAATGGCTAATAAGCACATGAAAAGTTGCTCAACATCATTAGTCATTAGGGAAATGCAAATCAAAAGCACAATGAGATACCATTACATACTCACTAACCGGGCTAAATTAAAAAAAGATTAACTATACCATGTCATTGCAAGGCGGAGGAGAAAGTGGAACCTTTATACATCACTGGTGGGAAAACAAAAATCCCTTTGGAAAACAGTTAAGAACTTTCTTAGAAAGTTAAACAGAAATTTACCCTACGATTTCTCAGTAATGATAGATCAAGTAGATAAAGACATTCCGAAGAGGATATAGAAGATTGGAACAAAACAATTAACAAGCTTGTTCTAGTGGATATAAACACAACCGCACACCCGACAACTTCAGCATACACATTCTTTTCAAGCACAGAATAAAAATGGACCCTATATTTTATCACAAGCCATATTTCAAAACATTCCAAAGGATTGATATCATACGGACCCCTTTCTCTGACAACAGAGCAATATTATTAGAAAGTTCTACCACAGTAATAACAGTGACAAAAACCACACAGCAAAATAACTCCTGGGGCAGACAAGAGGTCATAGTGGAGATTAGAAAATGATGTAACTGAATGAAAATTAAAACTAAATGCTATTTTATTAAAATATGTGGGATGCAGTTTGAGTGATATTTAAAGGAAAAATTTATAGCCTTAAGTGTTATAAATAGCTAAGATGCTATTGCCTTTAATACCTTAGAAATCTAGAGTCTGAAAATTAATAATTATCCAATTTGAGAAGTTGGAAAAAAGCAATAAATTAAGGCCAAATAAATAGAAGGGAGAAAATAAAAGAGAAATGAATAAAACAATATGAAAGCTATAACAGAGGATCAAAAAAGGCAGAAGTTGGTGGAAATATTATTAAATTGATGATTAGCTAGAAGCTTTGTTGATCACTAAGGAAAAACAGTAAAGACATAGATAATCAATATAGAGGATAAACAGGGGACAAAATACTGATGTTATAGACATCAAAGTAATAAATGCCAATAAATTTGAATGCTAAAATGAATAAATTCCTCAAATATATCTGTTTTCAAAACTGACATATGAAGAAACAGAAAACTCAAACAGCCAATAACGCTTAGAATCAATGAATCAGTAATCAAGAATCTCCTTACAAAGAGAGGAGCAGACCTAGATGGCTTTGTCTCTAAACTCCACAGAACATTCAAGTGAAAAAAAATTCTAATCTTACACAAAATATCCCAATATGTACTAAAAGAAGAAATGCTTCTTCATGTGTGAGGTTCACATGAAGGATGAAGACAGAGCAAGAGAAGGAAGCTGTGTTACGCATGAATTTTACACAGATGTATTGATGTAAAAGTTCTGAGCAAAACACCAACAAATGGACTTCAGCAGTGTTTAAGAAATAATACACAATGTGAGGGCCTGGAGTCTGCAGTGATGAACAATCCAAGCGAGAAAAGATAAAAGCTTTGAATCAGCAGGACGTAGGGCTGGAAAAGCAAGGATGAGTGGCCCTGAGGCAGTTTTGGGGGGACCCCAGCAGAGCTGCCTGGGTAGGTAAGGCCTGCAGTCTGGTTTGTAGACCTGATGTGCAGAGCCTGTATCTAGGGTGAGTGGCAGAGCGGCAGTGTGTAGGGCAGACTTCACATAGGGTGCATGGCTCAGTGGACAGCTTCTGACGGGAAAGTCCAAGGTTAGGTGTAGAGGATGGGTGTGGGGAGTGGCTCTTCGATAAATGCTCTCTGAACCGGGGCCGGGAAATCCAGCGCTCCCATGTTCTGCTCATTTCCCGCAAAAAAAAAAAAGCCAACAAAAGAAAGAAAACCTCCCAGCCTTCTGTGCTGCTCATATCAGCACAGCAGCCTGAACTTAGACTGCAAAATAAACATAGCCCAACGTAAACACCATGGCAGGCCTGGGAAAATCTGAGAATACAGGTTGAGAGGAAGGTGGGCATGGCTTCCTTAGTGGGCTCCTTAGAGAGCCAGTGGAGGCCCTGTAGGGGGGATGTGTAAGTGCTTTTAGAAATCCTGCTGCAGGATGACAGGCAACCTGCGCCTGTCCCAAAGCCCCTTCCCCTGAACACCACGGCCCCTGGACCTTGCTGCCTACACTCTCCTAGCCTTGACCCTCAGTGTTGACCCCAGCCTCTTCTCAAAGGAGCCCTTATGTCTATGAAACACTTTCTTATTCCTGTCATTCCTCTCCACCTCAGCTCTCCTACCCTCTTCTACGGTTTTGGAGTCCAGCTGCTGGCCTCACTAGCTGTGTGCACTCAGGTGACCAAGAAACTTCTCTGGTTTTAATTATCTCATCTGCGAGAAGTAATTTATTTGGGCAAATAAAGAAGGTAAGTTGAAAGCTGAGAGAGTAGGAAGCAGCTTGTGGATTTTTAAACATGAGCACATCAACGGTTCAAGCCTCTCACTTGACAATGATGCAGGGAGGGCAGCTGGGAGCAGGTCTGAGATTTGAGGAGGTTCTTGAGTCCAGCGGTTTGGATGGGAACATAAAGCTTTGCCTGTGGCCAGGTCAGGTGCAGAGGTGGTCAGTGCCCCAGGGATGGGGCATTTTGCAAGATAAAGAGAAGACCCTCTGAATCAGAGCAGAGACAGCCCACTGGTGAGCAAAAGTTTCACACAACCCTGGAGTTTTTGCAAGGGAGTCCTTGGAGCCCTTCTCTGCAGAGTGGGTCCCTGGCCCAGGCACAAGGGTGGAGGGAAACTGAGGCAATCCTAAACAAATTCCATGGGCTTCTTCAGGTAACTCCTGGCAAGTGGGACATTTGAGGTTCCTCTGACCTTCCAAATGATCCCATCCTGAAAGTGGGGGGTAGCTGGTTGTGAGCTCAAAGGCTCCTGCTCCACTCTCTTTGGGTCCTGGTTCAGCAGCTGGATGATCCAGCCTGGGACAGGACTCACTTTAGGATCTGGGGACTGCAGCCTCGACTGTCTCACCCCATGGCCAGCCTGGTGGATGGGAAGTGAAGGGAGGGTTGGGTGGGGAAGGTCCAGGGACTCTGGCTGGGGCTGGCTGGCCAGGCGGGCACTGGCTCTGCTGTGGGCCCGCCAGTCTCTGAGGGATTTCCTGTCCCCTACTTCCTGAGGTCAGCAGGATTGCGCTTGGGTTGTTTATGGTCCCGATGGCTACATTGATAACTGCGATAATGTGAGGCCCAGGCCACGCCACTGTGTCCTTTGGGCCCAGAAAAGCCCTTTCCCAGGGTCTGTCCCTATGGGGGAAGCAGTCACTGGCAGAAGAGGGGCTGGGCAGGCTGCCATGGGTGGAGGCAGTGCTGCCAGGAGCTGCCGCCACTCGGGTCAGCGCATCTCCATTGGCCCCTTGATGAACAGCTTGGGTCCAAGTCAGACAGGGTGGGGGCAGGAAAGCAGTGCCCGTGAAGCCCCCTACTGCAGAATATCCCAGCATCCTGGCAACCCTGGCCCAGAGCCTGGCGGTGCTGAGGCTGGGGGCTTTGTTCTACAGTCCCAGTTTTGCCTCCATGCCTTTGCCTGTGAGGACCAAGCACTCTTGAAAACATGGGCATTTGTGTGTCAGAGCTGATGAAACACAGGGATGTAATTCTGTAACCTGAGGCTAGCAATCGACCCACTTTTACCCACCACACTGACCCTGGCCTTACACACCTGTAGGCCACAATGGTCACCACAAAAGCCTGAGAAGAGGAGCAGCTTTTTAGGAGATACTGCCTGCCACCTATTGCCATTCCTCAGGGAACACCAGGCTTCTCGTCTCAGCTTTAGGGATGGGGTCAGTGATGCATGGGCCAGTGTGGAGAGCCATAAGAAAAGCCTAGGAAGTCAGGGAGGGCGTTAGAACTACACCTGGCAGGATACTGTGGGTGATCAGGGAATAGTGGTGGGTGGGGATCACAGAGCTTCTCGGGTTGGGTAGGTTCACACATCTCAGCCCGTGCTGGACGGCGTAGCTGTCTTGACCAGGGACACACATGGGCTGAGTTAGGAGGCTGGGTGGGGGCTGGGGATCATGCTGCAGCTCTTGCACAGCTTCCTTTGCTGTCTAGACGTGCCCAGCCTGCGTTCAGCACAGGGCAGACCTTGCTACTCTGCTGTGCCAGCCTCGAGTCACTGGGTCCACGTGCAAAGAGGAAAAGCCAAGGTCACCCTTACTCTCAGAGGGCAGAGACCAGGCTCACAGGTGGCTGGACCTGACCTTGTGAGCTGATGACTCCTGGGCCTCTGGTCCCACCAACTCCTGCTGGGTCACCTGCCTGGCAAAGGCCATGGTGGCACCCAGCTCAGGCCTGCTCAGGTCCTCCAGTGAGGTCCAGGTGTGGGGACACACTGCCTAGGAGGCCAGGCCCAAAATCAGGGTCCCAGGCACCTGGAGCCCAGCCTGTCCTCTCTTTGCTTGATTTCATTTACTGTCCTAGGGAACCATGGCCACCACAGGCTGAGGGCAGCTTGTACAGCTGGAGGGGGGAGGTTTCACCCAGGACCGGGTTGGGCAGGGCAGAAATAGAGAGTCACTCCTGCGTGGGCCTAGCCAGGCCCACCTGCCCCACTATAGAGACTGGAAGTGAGCCAGGGCTGGGTGTTGCTGGGCAACCCAGCACGGCAGGCAGAGTTCCCTGCCCAACTGAAATTCCTCTATTTTTAGCCACTCAGTAACTTCAGATAAAATCCATGTAGACAGACGAGCTGCCCAGCAAGATAAAAGCCCGCCTCAAACCACAGACTTCAAAGGGCAGCAGTGGGTTGGGCCTAGCCTGAAAAAGGGCCTCCCTAGGTCCAGAAACTCCTGTGGCTCCTGGGCCACCCTGTGCATAGGTTCTGGGCTGAGAGGCTGGTGATAATGGGCAAGCTTGGCAGGCAGTGGGGTGTCCCTGTAGTCAGTCCATTTAGGCCCTGGCATTTGGGAGCAGAGGGCAGCCAGGCCACAGGGGAGCTGCCCGAGGTGCTGTACCCCATCTGGACACCTGTAACCCTAATTAAGACTCTCTGGTAGGAGCTGAAGGTGGCCTGACAGGGTGGGGCCAGGGCAACCCACCATCCCATCCTGAGCTGACCCCTCCCCAGTACAGTCGGGTTCAAGATACGCAGAAGATGTCCCTTCCCATGAATCAGTCCCAGCCAGGCTGAGTCCCCTGAGCCCTGGCCTGCACAAAGCAAAGACTCCAGACAGCTGGGCCTACAGGAAGCCAAATACCAGGCTTCTGCCATCACCCGTCACTCAGAGTGCAGCCAGAAGGCTCTTGGAACACAAAAGCAGGCATAAGGGGTGGCAGGAGAGAGTGGGTCATGATGAAGGCCCAGTGTGACCAGCCTCAAGGTCTCAGTCCCTCCAGTCAGGGCAGAGGCAGGACCATGCGGCTGGGTTAGCCAGGTGAAAGCCAGTAGAAAGGCGCCTGGTTTCCTGAGGGGCAACAGTGGACCTCAAGAACTCCAGGGCGAGATTCGCAGGCACCTTGCCAGTAAAGGCACTGCTTGTCAGAGGACTCGAAACCAGCCCAGCCAGGCCCCTTCCACGGGAGAGAGATACCCAGCCAGGTTGCTGAGCCCGTTAGGGAAGGGACGTGTGGGCCACTGTGAATATATATGGAGGGAGGGAGGGGACCACACAGCCTGTCGCCCTGTCCAAATTCCCAGTTCACACTCAAGACAGAGTAGGAGAGTGGGAAGCTGCCCTCAGGGGCACCGAGTTGGCCCTGAGGACGCTCACCACGCTGGCCCACTGGGCCATATGCTCGAGCCTACCTTGTCTTCTACCCGGTTCAGGCGGGCACCGATGGTGTTGCTGCCACGGTCCTTGCTCTTTTCTATGGGGGTGAAGCACTGATGTCAGGGAGGTGTGTTGGGACAGGAGGTGATCCCTGACTGGCTTAGGGTGCAGAATGGCCAGGGGAGGTAGCTAAGGGTCAATGGGCTTGAACCTGTAAGGCATTTTTTTTTTTTTTTGAGACAGGGTCTCTCCATGCAGTTCAGGCTGGCCTTGAGCTCACTTTGTAGCCCAGGATGGTCTCAAACTTACAACAATCCTCCTGCCTCAGCCTTGCTAGTGCTGGGATTATAGGTGTGAGCTACCATGTCTGGCTTCAGGCCATTTGTTTTTGTTTGCTTTGTGTGTATATGTTTGTGTGTGTGTGATACATGCCAGGCCATTTCTGAATTTTTCAGGTTTTGAGGCAGGGTCCTGCTGAGTTTCTCAGGCTGGGTTCAAATGCACAAACCTCTTGCCTTAACCTCCCAGAGTGTAGGAATTACAGGTATGTGCCACATGGCCAATAAGGTCATCTTCTAAAGTGCTCTGATGGAGGGAACATTGGGATAGTCCACTGAGAAGAGTAGTGTGGACCTGGGCTGTACCCCAGCTTTGAGACCTCTGGGGAACTCTGGGTCTGTCAGGTAGGATAGGACATACCTGCCACCAGGGCTGCCTGCTGTTCAGATTTGTGACATTGGGCTTTGTGCCAGGCCAGGCAATCCTGCTGGACAACAGCCCTGCCATACCAGCCTGGGCTGTGAGGTTCTTTTGGAACCTTGGCCAGGGTCCTCCAAAGAACAAACCCCTCCATCTTTCCCTGGCATGACTCAGACTCTGCCTAGAGGACCTGAGCAGTTGGGCCAAGCCAAAAAACTGGCATGCACATGCTGCCTCCTCCAAACCAGAGTCTACACCAATAGCCCAAGACTTGGGGTGGCTGCTCACCCAACATAGACCCAAACTCAAGGCTCTGCACCATAGTATCCCTCCTAAAAGATAGCCTTCAGTCATACTTCCACACCCAGAGCCTGACTTCCATGTTCAGAAATTTGTCACTCAGAGACCAAAGTGGATCCTCACATAACCTGCAAATTCCTTGATAAAGTGTGGACCTGCTGCCATCCTCAGAGTGGCATCTGCCACTCCCTGCCTGACTTTTGGCTTCATGTTACTCACTGTGGAGGCCCTAATGCCCGCTCTGATGGTGAGAAGAGGAAAGAGGTGAGAGAGACCAGCATGGACTGCCACATTCAGCCCGGGGCAGGACCCACCTGAGATGGGGATGAATAGAGAGGGCTTCCCGATAGACTGGTCCAACCTGAAAGGGAAAGAGATGGAGAGCAGCTCATAGCCAGCCCCAGGTACCATTGGACAGGCTGATCTGCCCACCCACTTGGAGGCCACCCAGCGCTGTTCCCCAGGACCTGAGGAAGCTCTTGGGCTACAGGAGCCCCTGGTCCTGAAAAGACCAGTAGGAAGCTTAAACATGAGAGGTTGTAGTTAGATCATTCCTTAGACTTCTTCCTTGGTTGGGGCAAGTGAGATCAGCTATGGAGGAGACTCTAAATGCCTGGCCCCACATGTGACCAGGACTGGGTACCCTGTAACACATGGAGCTAGGCTCCCAGGCTAGCAAACTACAGCTGGACTACACCTGTGCTGAATCCCAAGGACTATGCCATTTCCAAAAGGCCAAGGATCCAAGACAAAATCCTAGAACATGCTGGTTTCCAATAGTCAGAGTCCCCAGCTACCGGCCCAACATTAGGCAGAGCCACAGGCGATCAGACCTTTGGATGGGGGAGACTCAGGGTTGATCTTGTGGACAGCTCAAGGTTCCTTTTCTCCCTCATCCCAGCCAAGGCTGGAGCAGATAATGCTCACTGTGAGGGTCGAGCAGGGTCAGCTGGAGTGAATATACCACAGTGGCCTCTAGGAGCCCATGTCCCCACACATCACCTGTGCCCACCTTCGCTGTAGCTCTTTGATTCGCACCATGAGGTTGAGGTGGCCCTGAGAGTACTGCTCGATGACATCCCGCACGTCATAAGGCTTCCGCGCTTGCTGCAGGCCAGAAAGACATGTGTTACTCCCCTGTGTCCTACAAGTTCAGTTTTAAATGCAGACAGTGATGGGGACAGCAATAGGATAGGCCTGGCCCAGAGCATCTGGACAGCATGGCTGGTTCCCACAGTGTGGCTGGGGATCCCTGACCATCAAGTGGGCCTCTTAGGCTATACGCTCAGCCTCTTGGGGTTCCCTAGGCCCTCTGCAAGTCCCTGACCACTGGCTCACGCTCTGGGGTCTCTGAAGTGTCAGTCTGACCTCTGGGGAGCCCTGGCAGGTGTTTTGCCTTGCACTATCAGGACCTGCTGCTCTCCTTCCAGGCTACTAGGCCCTCAGTCTCAGCCTTAGGAAGAGCTGACCTGCTGGGTGGGAGACACAACTCTTCAGAGCCCCTGCCTGTCTATATCCCAAGCTGATCATGGGCATACTCCTGGGCAGCAGCCCATAGGTTTGCAGAGGAGGATGGTAGCAGATACCTACTTGGGCTCCCACAGCAGGCCTGAAGCCATGTGGGCCAGAGCAGGTGACCATAGGATTCCCAACCCTTGTGCGAGCTCCAACTCCATTAGTGAGACCCAGGTCCAGGTGGACAATCAGCAAAAACCACAGTTTTTTAAACTTCTCACAGTCAGCCTGGTTCTCATAAGGCCTTGGTCTCAGGGGCCTTGAACAGCTGTTCTCCCCATAGAACAGCAACCAGGCTGGACAGAGTGCTCTGTTCCAAGCCCCCATAGAAGAGCACGTTGGGTCCCGGTGCTTTTTCCAGCACTCAGAGAGCCCCATTGTGATAAGCTGGGGTCACTGCCTTCTGTTAGGGAGTTCAAAGTGAGGTGTGGGGTAGGTGAGAGAGGGAGGCAGGGGTACAACCTGGGCCAGGGATCAAGGTGGTACAAACCTGGGCTGATGTGGACAGATGCTCTATTTGTCCCTGACAGCCTGGGAACCAGAGGCCACTGCATCCAGGTGTGTGTGGGTGTGCACATTAGAAGTCTCTGCTGACATGTGATTTAGTATGCCTCTTATGAGAGAGGGCATTTCTGCAGAAGTGAGGGGTATGGTGAGCAGGGCAAAGGCCAGGAAGGACAGAAGTTCCCCACTGATTCTCTACAACATCTAGGCTATGATTATTTTGGATTCACCCAGCAACTTTCTTGGGTCTGGTAAGGGCTTGTGAAGCCTCAGTGAAGTGTCTGCCTGGGTCCTGGCTGGAGAGATCACCTTGGCTTTCTCTCCAGAGCTATGCCCCTACTGCCGTGGTACCCAGAGATGAGCCATCCTATTTGGCCTGACTGATGGTGGATGGGAATTTTCAGGACAAACTTGAAGGCCTAAAGGCTCTTGGATGCAGGCCAGGGACTGATCTGCTAGCAAGGTAGGCAGGGGGGCTACTCACCATGCTGGCAGCCAAGGCTAGCTGGGGTGGGTGGGGTATAGGTGGGCAGACAGGCTGATGTTAGGAAGTGAGGATGCTCTAAGACATGGGGCTTTGCAAACCTCTCCCTGCCTCACCCTCCTCATTCCTGTTCTCTGAGGCCTCCTGATTCCCACCCCTTTATTTATCCCCAGGCAACAAAAGCCCACTCTTCAAAGGAGCCCAGCCTCTGTCTTTTCTCAGAATTTTCTGTCCCTAGAAAGTCATCTGCTGCCTAGTTTATTCAAGATCCCCCAGGGCCTGGGATGCAGTGGAGATGCAAGATAGAGAGGTAGAAGTTCATGGTATAGTCTGGAAACTTCCTGGACCGCTGTCAGGACTGCAGCAGAACAGAGGATCCTAGGCTGGAAGTCTGTTCCTCTGGAACTTGCACCCATGTCAGCAGGTAATTTTCTTATCTATGTCACAATGACAGGTCTGTTTGGGTCAGTGTGGTTGATCTATTGGCCATTGTGGAAATCACAAGGGTCTCTATCCTTGGCTAGGTGTCCCTGAGCCCTGGAAGCAACTCCCAGGGAGACCTGCATTCATCTCAGTACAGGCCTACAAGTGTGAGCAGGTTCCAGGTTGGTCCACACCAAGGGTGCTGCTCTGTGTCCCCAGAGTGCTGTGTCCCAGGGAGCTCAGGCTGCGGATGGTTGTGATGTTAGAGATCCCTTGTGACTCTGCTTCATGGGGGGGACATCAGTGATGGTTTTAGCTGTCACTTCCAAGCTGTTCCCCAGCACAGGAGACATACCAGGTCTCTTCTCCTTGGGGACAGTCCTGCCATGCTTCCCCCTGAAGGGTTCTTTTGGCTTCTTCCTACTTGGGAGGCACTGGTACAGCCAGCAGGCATCCCCCATGCTCATGTCAACTCCCACTCCAGTAGCCACGGTAACAAGGTAGGGCCTCTACAAAGGCTTGGAGTAGAGGGCACAGTGTCCAGATGCTCCATCCAGGGGGTTGCCAGATGTCCCCAGGACATCACCAGGCAGACTTCCTGATGCCAGCTGAGAGGAGCTTTCATTTGTTTCCACAAAGAGCAGCCCTGGGGTCAGTGGGAATGTGGGCAGTATGGTCCATCTGAGTCCTCACAGCCACTATAGTTCTGCTATGTGTTAGCTAACTTTTGAGGTGGTTGGTGACCAGGGAGGAGCTACATGCTGCCATTGCTAGTGGGAGGAGCTCAGTAGGGGGCAAGCACTACACTCACTCAAGGTTTATTCTCAGGGCTTATGACAGTGACAGTGGTGGCAGGTACTGCTGCAGGGGACTGTCATGATGAGACCCATGTACTCAGAGTGGGGCCAATGCCTTGGGCTCCTACTGTCAGCACGGTTTGGGATAAACTCACTCAGGGTTGCCTGGGGATTCCTGTGTCCAAAACGCTTATGGAGTCTAGAGTCTGGGGGAGGGAGCTATCCCAGGGTCCAGGGTAAGGCTGTACTGAGGGGACTGTCAGCATGTCTGTCTCAACCTCACAGCCTGGTACAGAAGGTATGGCCTGGAGCTGGGTGCAGGGCCACCATGTAACTGTTGTGGAACTGAATTGGGCCATCCCCCATGTTGGTGATGAGGGTCTTCTGACTCCGTCCCCTAAGGGTACCTGTTTCCCACAGCTACATACTGTTATCAAAGTAAATACAAAGCCTCCCCTTAACCATGGCCTCCACTGGAGGGCTGTCCCTGCAGGAGAGAAGCTCTGCCAGCCACCAAGGCCATGCCTTGTAGGTTTTGCATGTTGTGGGTCCTGGAGAGACTGCTGATGGCTACAGAATGCCCAGAGCTGCAGCACTGCCCAGCCAAGAAACCGCCATCTGACCACTGGGGGTAGGAGAATGGGCACTGGACTGGTCAAGAATAGCTTTGCTTCCTTCCCCAGGTTACTGGGGCCCTCTCTGGTCATTCTGATGACATCTGCCTATCTGTACTGATGCAAGGTTATGTGACCCATGGGAGGGTAGAGTGAGCCCATGAGAGTGCTGCCTTTGATCAGTGAGGAAGAAGGACTACTTCGCTGGGCTGCAGGGAAGTATCCACTAGGGCCTGCTTTCTTGGGGAGAGGAGGTTTCCTAGGAACAAGGTGAAGTCGTCACAGGATGTCTGAAGGTGAGAGTCTGGTCCTGGACACATCTGCCTGGGTGGTCTCTCTCCTGGTAGAGAAGCCTGGGTAGAGAAGCACATAGGGCTTGCAGTACCACAGGGGTTGCAAGGGGGTATGAGAGTATGGATGGATTCTGCCAGGACTCACCTGGAATTTCTTTTTTTCCTTTTTTTTTCTTTAGTACCAGGGATCGAACTCACAGTTTTGCACTTGCCAAGTGGGCACTTATGCCACTAGCTAAATCCCCAGCTCACCTGAAATTTCTTCTTGGCCACAAAGTACTGCATGCGCCTGATGACCTTGATGGTGGCCCGGTGGTGCTCTCGCAGCCTGTGGAGAAGGAGAGAAGGGCATGAGTGGCTTATGTGTCTGACATCCCCGTCACATGGCCAGAGGTTTGGTACTCTTGCTGCAGGTGGACGGAACCCTCTGTGAACATGAGTGGTTGGCTCCACTGGGACAGAGGTCTGTGAGATCCTGTTCTGATGGGGATCAGGAAAGGTCGGAATAAGGGGCTTTTGCCAGTGAAAAGTTTGCCTTACCCATAGATGGGAAAAGGGGTCCTCTCCTTATTTTTGTTACTTAGACTGGGAAAAGGGGGTCAAGGACTTTGGTCTACAAGGGCTGTGCCTTTAACTCATGATAGTCAGGGAAACTCCTTTACAGAGGAAGTTTCCTTACTTCTGGCTCATCCTGGGTCAATGGAGCGTGTGGTCAATGGAGCAAGCATTTGGAAAAGGCTGGGGTGCAAGACAAGTTATCGAGGGAATTTGAGTTCTGCTCAAGGTAATGCATGGGTTTGTCTCTAAAGTTCCTTCCAGAAACAAAGGTCCATTAAGAAATATCAATGACAAAGGAAATACGAGATTTGGTATCTATACGTATAGAAAAAAAGAGACAAGAAGCAAATGTGACCATGTGGAAACTACGGGAGGATCCTTCTGCCTGTGAAACTCACACAGACCACCTCCCACTGGAGACGCTTGTGACAACTGTGCTCAGCTTCAATGGTGACAACAGACATTGCTGGAAGGCTTGGAAGAAGGACAGATCTGAAGGATACGGTCTCAGATGGACCGGACACTGTAGGCTGTTTCCTCTGCAGAATATTGTGTGGTACGTGAATACCAGGGACAAGTCACCAGTGAGCTGGGGGCCATGGAACAGTGTTTCCCAGAAGCATCTGTGGGTTACCAAGCCGTGCAGATGGTGAGGTTTGAGAACTGAGCAGAGGTAGCTGCGAGGAGGACGGGAAGTGAAGCAGATAACAGACAGCTTGTGCCCTTGAGGAGAGCCGCCTTGGGGGTTTGATCTACCTAGGATGGAAGCCCATAAACATCTCAAGTTTTAGGTTCAGAATTTGTAGCCTCAAGCCTTGAGTTTAGTAAGTGGATCTGCCCATGATTTTTTTTTTCACACTAGAAGAAAATCCAGTTTGCAATAGAAACATTAGTAGCACTGAGCCGCTACTTTTTTTCCACATAAAGGAAGACTAAAATCCAAGGGAAAAAACAGACCCTAGAAACAGAGCTAATGATGTGGTATACTCAGTAGTCTTAAATACCTGTCATTCTCCCCATAAAGAGATGGGACCTGTCTGAATTTGGCCTGATCTTATGATCTAAGGTGACTGAGTTACAACACTAGGGAGCTGATACTGCTGTCATCCATGAGCTTGTGGAGTGTGACCATATGAACTAACTTGAGCCTATGGGGTGGAGGGACCACATAGAAGGGAATTGGGGTGCTCAGTCAGTAGTCAGCACTAACACACAGACATGGGTAAGGCCTTCCTGGGCCCCCGCCCCTGAGTAAGCTGCCTGAGCCACTACAAGCAAAGTTGGCAACTGTACTTCCCGCTGGATCAAGGCCAAATTCCTGACCACAGCATTGTAAGCAAAGACAATGTGTTAAGCCACTAAATTTAGCTGTGGTTTTCTATGCAGCAATAGGTAACTGATAAAGAAATTAAGCATCAAAGGTGGGGCAGTGTGACATCAGTCTCCTAAAACACATGGCTCAGATTGGGGATCAGGCCAACGTGAGCACACAAATCACAAGATGTTGGACTTGGAACATGACACTATCTATAACTGAGTGACTTCTTGGTGTCTTGTGGGGGTGAGTGCACTTTGAATGGGGTGAGGATGGTATGAGAGGTTATGGCAGAGGGCAGAGAACAGTGAGTTAAAAATGCATGCAAATCCTTTCAGCTTCTGCTATTAAGGAGTCGAATCATCTCCACCATGGAGGAAGTGGACTATGTGTTCTGATCCTTGAAACCTTCTGGGTTTCACTTTTACCTTTTTAGAATGATGTTGCCTCATAGGACATGTCTGAGCTAGCCTGCTGTAAAAGCCAGCAGAAGGAGAGCTGAGGTGCCCTGGCTGCCAGCCGACAGCTCCAGACATGTGAGGCTGAGACGACACAGCCACCACTAAGCCATCCTAGGAGTGCTGCTGCATGGGCCAGCCCAAGTGGGCCCACCCAGTGCGCAGCCCACATTGCTGACCCATAGACACATGGCTGTGGTTTGTGTCAGTGTTGTATATGAGACATTTAAAATGGCCAAGATAAGTAGGTGTTACTTACGAGTGATCTATTTTCTTTAACCTACCTATCATGTATATGTGTGTGTGTACAGATATACTAGACAGATAACTATACTACTATCTCTGTACTTCATTAAAAGAACAGTTTGTGCTTGCATTGTTTGGTGGTTTGATCATTTTTCTAAATCTTGTAACCTGAACAACTTCTTCTAAGATAACAGTATGCATTACATTAACTACTGTTAATTTTGTACTTTTAAAAAACTTCTGTATCATTTCTATGCTTTGTCTTTTAAAATAAAAAACTTGAAGAAATTTAAAGCAGAAAAGAATTAAAAAGAAAATAGATCAATGATGGGGAGTTTCTGCAGAGAGATAAAAATTATATACAAAGGGTAAAATGGAACTTCCAGAGCAGAGAAGGGCAGTAATGGAATTAAGAAGGAAATAGGTGAATTTGTAAGTGGAGACAAAATACTAGAAAAGAAAATCTGGGAGAAATGGGATAAAATAGCCAGCCTGGAACATAGAGAGAAAGTAGCATAATAAGAAGAGATAAAACAAATGAAAAAAGAAATACAAGATGACATTATATATATCATAAATGGAATAATATTCCAATTAAAAGATCAATAAGATGAATAAATACTGTATAAATCCACCTTAAAATATAAAAATGTAGAAAGTCTAATGGTAAAAGGACACAAAAATATATATAATGGTCTAGCAAAAAAAATGGGTATAGGTAAACTAATATTAACAAAGTAGACTTTTAAGTATTACTGGCAACAAAGAATAATATTTCATAAGCATAAAAGTATCAATTTAGCAGAAAATTCATTCTAAATCTTTATCACCTACAAATATAATTTTAAAATATATAAAGCAAACTGGTAAAAGGGAAGGTAAATGATCATGGTGCGATAATTGAACATCTCATCCAATAGAGAAGCAGTCAGAGCATCAGCAGGAACAAATGTGAACAACTTGTATAGCCACCTAATCTGACATGTACAGAACAGTTGCCCACACACTGAAGATCAAGGTAGGTCTCCAGGGGCATGCAGAGCATCAGCAGGAGAACAAATGCAAGGCTTGAAAAGCGGGTCCCAACAAACTTCACAAATTAAATTATGTTTCATATATTCTGTGACCATAGTGAAATTAAAGTAGAAATAAATTTCATACACATATACATATATATGCATGCATATACACATACATATATAGACATGCATGTATACACATACACATTCATATACATGTAGGTACCTGTGAAATCCACAAATATTTTAGAAACTAAACAATCCAAATAACCCAAGGGTCAAAGAAAAAAAGTCTGATATGAATCTGAAAATAACTTTAATTGAATAATAAAAATGTTATATATCAAAAGTTATAGCTAAATAAGCATTTGAGGGATAGTGAAATATATGTATGGAGGAAAAATTATAGCCTTAAATGTATCTACTAGAGAACAGAAAAGGCTGACTGAAATATATAACAGGAAGTTTGAAAAAAGATATCAAATGTAAATCCAAAAAGAGTAGAAGGAAAAGAGACAATAAAAGCATAAATTGATGAAATAAAAAAATAATAGTACATTGAAGGAAATCAATAATGCCAACATCTGGTTTTCCAAAGAGACAAATAAAATTTATAAGTTTTTAGCAAGATTGATTGGGGAAGGAGAAGATCCCAAATCACACATCTGGAATTACAAATTGAACAGTACTGTTAATCTAGAGATACTTAAACAATCTATTCAATAGATAATATGAACAAAATAATTTGATAACATAAATGAGTCATAAAAACCACAATATTTAAAAGAAAACAAGAAATAAAAATATCAATTCCCCAATATTCATTAAATTAAACTTGGAATTTTAATGATCTTCCCATAAAGAGAACTCAAAGTCTAAATGACTTCACTAGTAAATTCTTCCAAACATCTAAGGAAAAAAATATTAATATTTATACAAGTCTTCTTAGAGGATTGTTACGAGGTGCTACAACATTGATATCAAACTCTAATGAGGATATTTCAAAAAAGAAAAACCAAGGTCATTCGTTTCTATAAACATAGATATGGATATTCTAAACAAACCAGCCAATTGGATTCAGTAGTTCAGTAAAGATATGATCAAGTGTGGCCTCATACAGCCCTGCAAGTTAACCTAACACTTGAAAACCAATCAACATAATCACTTCATCAACAGAATAAAGAAAAACATATCATCTCAAAAGATGCAGAATAGAACTCAATAAAATTCCAGATGCACTCATAACTAAAAATACAACTCTTAGTGAAGTCAGACTAGAAGGAAATTTCATTATCCAAAATAACAAAAACTAAAACAAATAAGGAAAAACAAAAACCCTAAGCACACATCATATGTAATGGCAAGGTATCATGTACTTTACTCCCGAGACAGGGAGCTAGGGAAGAATATTGACTGCCTCCATTTCTATTTAATACTTCTAGAAAGTTCCAGTCCATGTGTTAAGTCAAGAAAAAGCAGATAAAAGATGTAATGATCGGATGGGAGAAAACTGCCATTATTTGCACATGACATAATCAGATATAAAAAAATCCATAAGTATCTTCAGATAGATGATTGCAATTAATAAATGAATTTAGCAAGAACACTGGCTTTACGGATGGTGAATAAAAATCTACATTTCTATCTGCTACTAATAATTAGAATATGAACTAAAAAGATAGCAATTTAATAACATCAAAACCCAAAAAATATCTAAGAGTAAGTCTATTTC